AAGACCTAAACTAGATAAGACCAAGCCAACAGAGGACAAAACTGACAGAGAACCAGGCTTATTAAGATCAAGCCAAGCAAGAACCAAGCTTTTGAATGACACCGTTTATGAAAGGACTTGGACTAGAAAGGGCCAAACCTACATGAGACCCAGCCTACAAAGGACAAAAGACCCAACATAGAAAAAACAATGCCTACAAATGACAAAGCCTACAAAGAATAATGATTTTTAAGAACCAGGGCAACAAAAGACCAAGTTTGTAAAGTACTAACCCTACAAATGACCAAGCTAAAGAAGATCTTCGACTATGGAGGAAAGAACCTATGAAACAAGCAGCCTACAATGAACAAAGTCAATAAAAGACCTTGACTACAAATTCTCCAAACTGCCTGAGCTGATCTCCCACTTTTACTCTTTGGTTTCTGAGCATCCTTTTAGTGGATGGACAATCTCTGTAGCACAACTGGAGCTTGCTTACATTGTCACGAGACAAGAGACAGAGATTACAGTCTCAGATACAGAGTACAGTCTCTGAACCGGATATGTTTAAGATGAACCCTGATTTACTCCCAGTGGTAAAGCCATGTGTGTGTGACTGTGATAAGTACAGTGGGTCTTTGGGCACTTCACAAAGCTGCCTTTGCTTGGTGTATGAACATATGTATAAGTCTGGACTTTTTCACAAACACACCAACTGAAACTCTTCCTGTCCTCTCCCAGTCCCAGACATCAACATTATCCCGTTATGATGTTATCTTAACTCTCCTGATCTCAGGTTTTCATGGCGGCGTCCCTCCACATCAGCCTGTCAGACTCTGCAGAAAGACTCTTCGAAGTGACCAATGAGCTGCCGTCTCAGCGCTCAATAACAACGTGCAGATGGAGCTGGTGGAGTGGGCCCAGTAAGAGAAGGACATGCTTTAATTTCTCCAGTTGCCTCCTCTAGAGCTGACCTTCACACCTCCGGCGATCCATCAAAATCTTTCCCGCCAAGAAAGAGCTGCAGGAGACGGAGCAGGCTGCTGGGTTTTCAGATGAACGTATGCAAACTGATGAGGGATGGAGCTAAAGACAATGCTACCAAAAGGGAAGCACCAAGGAGACATAGTTACCAAGAAACTCAGAGATCAGAAGACGAAATGAAGGCTGGAGTCTGGAATTTGAATCTGTCGTCAGGGTTTAAAGGCTGCACAAGGAAAATATGTGCAAAAGTGACTGCAGCATGCTGGACTTGGCTAAAATGAAGCATGAATGATGAGTCAGTGTGTGTGGGTGACTCTACAGGTGCACCCAGTCAAAGATCCAGGGCTTGATTAAACACACGAGGCCAATTAGCAGCAGGTAAAGCCATTAGAGACCCTTGAGTCTGTAACGTAACAGAGATATAACATTATAGATGCTGTTGAACTCTACAGCAGGAATCAACGACCTTTTTTGTCAGCTGTGATATTTTTGAAGTTCACTTTAGTCTGACCACGATTTTGTTATTTCTGCTCCGTCCAAATACATGATTTTAAAACCAAAATGGAAACGGAGCGCTGCAGTTGCACACCCTTCTCCACAAATGTGACGTTTATAGCCGTGTGCTGGTGACATGAACTACTTACTCCGACTGCGTACTCTCCCTCTTTTAGCAATTGGACCGTCCCCCGATTTAGAAATGTTCCTGCTGAACGCTGAGGGTGAAGTCACCCACTGCTTCAAAGTCTGACGAATGTTTTCTTATTTCTGTTTGCCCGCAGAGACGGTTTTATTCAAAGGAGGGGAGTTATTTCAAGAATGTTTCCTGCAGCTGAATCTGCTTTTATAATCAGGGCTCTGTTTGGATTGAAGCCTTTTTCACTCTTTGGTGGTTGCAGCAGTGATGTCCTCAGAAATATGTTGCCTCAACGTGTTCTCCTTCTGCAAATCTGTTTATGTGACATGTATTAAAAAAGCAGACGTGATGTTCGCAGAATAAAAATCCACATTTTGTTCCATCTTGGGAGTTTCGACATGGTTTAACATCCCACAATCACAACACCACCAATTATATCTAATCCATTAATTTGGCCACCCTGCGCCCTGAAGAGGAACCTCTATGGTGGAAGAACAACATTCCAGCTTCATTAGTTTACACTGCTGATATTAATACTATCATTACAATTGGACATGGTTTATTTTGACTACTATTACCACTAATACAATAATAGAGCCTAATAGAGCCTGAGCCAGGGGGGAAATGGGCATAGGACCGACTTGGAGCTCTTCCACCCCCAGCAGCTGCAGAGGGGGCCCACAGAGGTCAGACGTACAGTAACACTTGACCTCGACTCTGTGTGTGTGTGGGACAACCATCCCGCCCTCCCACCAGCCCCGGTCCCTGCAGACCAGCAGAAAGGGCAGTAACCTCTGCAGGCTTTGTTGTGTTGGCCGGACTCTGAGCATAGGCCCACCATTGTGAGTGTGGGGACTCCTCTGCTCGGGCTCTTGTTTTCTTTGGGAAGCAGGAAATTGGATGACTGGCTACCTGCTACAACAACATCCTGTACTTGAGAAGCCGTCTTTTCACCCATACCCACCTATTATTTCCCTTTTCCATCGTACGCAAGTGGTCAGCCAAGCCAGCAAGTCTTTTTTCTCTTTTTTTTCCCCGGGTCCTGGGGGCCCTGTGCGTGGGTTTGTCTAGGTTCCACTCAGGTTGAGATCAAATTGGCCCCATCCAGATGCTTCCGTTGAAATAAAGTGCGGGGGCCAAATATTTGAGCTCTTGGAGTCTGACTCCACCTTGTCAGGTTAATGGTCCTTTGTGAGCAGTGATGGTGTTCAGAAAACCCACACACACTCAGGTCTACTTATAGGTCTGTCAGAGCCTGTCAGGTCACTTCAGACCAATCAGAGTGATCTGCGTTTGGTCTGCAGGAGACCACTTTCAGTTATAAAAACATCCTTAAGGATTATGGCGTTAAAGACAGGATCTAGGTGGGCGTTGATGAGAGCTGATTCTGATCTGAACTCGGGGATATCCGACCGCCATGTGAGATATTAATGAAGATAATGATGCCATCACTGGGAGGGATTTCTTTTAGAGTCAGGGTTCCTTTAGAGCACCAAGGTTAAACATTAAGGCTGTATAATCCCTCTTGATCGGATTCAATCACTGCAACCCCCCCACACAGAAAGATTCCACTCATATGACCTGAAAATGGGACTTATGTCCAAGAAGTGCAAGCACACAAAAACCACCTGAGCATATGCTGCTGCAGGACAAGCTGGGGTCAGAAATACTGGAGTACAATCAGGATCAGGTGCAAAAAGATATGTGCTAAAATTTATATGCAATGACGTTTCGACAAGTGTTTTCTTTGTGTACGTTTCTTCTTCTTGTATTTCTATTCCACTCTGTCGTAGGGAAGTCTACTCTATATTATTCTATTTCATTCCAATACAGCCTATTCCATTGTACCATTATCTATATTTCATTCCTCTCTTATCTTTAGTACTTCATTCCATTCTATTTCAATGTACTCCATTGAATTTAATGCCATTCTAAAATCCCATTCTCTTCCAATCCATTATATGCAGTTGGTATTCAGTTCTATTTCATGTAATTCTGTTCTATTCTATTCGGTTCTAATGCTGCGTTGCTGCGTCTAACCCGAGTTACCAGTGTTTCACTTACCAAGTTGGAAAACCAAGATGGACGCCTACAGTTAGCCATTGTTAGCTTTTGTTTACAATTATCAGCCGTTGTCAGCGATTGTTAGTTATTGTTAGCTATACCAGTTGTAAACAACATTTAACACAGTATTTTACTCTTACAAACACCATAGCATCGTGTTAACAGTTAGACGTTGGGCAGAACAACATATACCACTCATTTAATTTCACAAAAACAAAACAAGCGCTAATAAATAAAACATTACGAGAGCTAAAACTGTACTCGGAGTTCAGAAATTCCAACTTCTCAGTACAACTGAAATGCAGCATATTTTATTCTAGTTTATACCATTCCATTATACCCTTCAGTTCTATTCTATTCTTTTGCATTCCTACTCCATCCCTTTACATGTCATTACTTACTTTTGCTAATTCATCAGATCTGTTCGAATCAGTCTAAGAAAGAAAAACAAAAACCATGGTATGACTGATACATCTCTGGAGCACAGTGAATTTACTATCTCAGCACACATTTGCACGAAGGATTTATCACATTTGGTGCCAGTTTTCATCAGTATAATGGAAGCAAACTTCTTCTCACTTACCGTTTCGTTGTCGGTTCGAGTCTGAGGCGATCATCATGTCTGATCCAGAGATCTACACGCGATAAAATCGTCCGCCAAGGAAACCCAGACCAGATCTGATCCGATCCGCTGTCAAACCCTAACTGGATTGTTGTGGGTGGAAGAAATTATCAAACTATTTTTCCCATTTTGCAGACGATTTATTCTTTTTGCAGAAACAGGCAACATCTGTATTTTCTCTATAACATCCAAAATGTATAAAAAAGAATAGAAAAATGCTTGACAGACAAAAACACTAGACTCTAGAAAAAAAAAAAAAAGAAACTGACAAAATAAAACACACATCAGATTTGAAGGCACTTATGGCTTGGCAAAGCTCGAGCAGCCTGAGTTTTCCCAGGTGGTTGCAGTCAAGCGTCAAAGGCCAAGACTTCATGATTGGAAGCAAAGGGGATGAACTCAAACACAATCACATCACAGGTTGATATGTCGTCAGTGGCCTTAAAGCTGCTGTCTGGACTCTGTCACTGATCTACAATGACCACAAGTATCACCTCTAGAATTCAAACACAGTCAATACAACAAGAGGAGGTCTCTTCAACAGATTATTTATCAAAATGCAGTTCATCATGGACAGAATCGACTATTTACAACAACAAAGGAGATGCTCAGTGATTTCTCCCTGGGAGTTTGAAGAGTTTCTAAAGTTGTTTGATTCCTGCAGCTTTCCAAAAGAAGGGGGAAGTTTCCAAACATTTTCCAGTTGATGAAAATCCTTCTTTGTTCACGTCTCCTTTTCATGATGCTGATCGGCATTGCTCATTCAGAGCTGGGTGAGGCAGCCGAGTCTATGTCGTCATTTTCCAGGTCGTTGGGAGAAGACGACTGTCCTCCTTTCACTCTCTTCCACTTCATCCTCCTGTTCTGAAACCACACCTTCACCTGCCATGGAGAGAGGAAGGAAATGACACGAGATAAGACAGAGTCAAGTAAAAACAAGCATTATCCTGACTGTGGCGGTTAAATACAGTGTCATCAGCGTATGAAGATTGCAGAGGTTATATGGGCTGAGTTTGGCTCAGAGAAATCAGCTTTTGGTTTTCTAACTTGGTGACCCAAATATCAGTTTAAATAATCACTTTTTTTATCAGTTGCAATAGAATATATTCCTGCGTTGGCCAGGACAGCTAATGTTAACATTCCTGTTTCCACGAAATCAAGCCCTTCTTAAATTCATGCGTTTTAATTCAGTTTCTACTGTATTAGATGGTGGGGTGGGAATGCGGGATTGGGCTGGGGTAGATTTGGGTATTCTTTGTTTCTTTAATTCCTTTTTCTGTGTAAAGCACTTTGTGCCACATAGTTGTCTATAAAAAGTGCGATAGAAATAAAGACTGATTGATTGATTGATGGATTGATCATAGTTTAATGAGTGGCTGTGCTAAGTAGCATGCTACCACAGCCACTAAAGCTCAGGAACGAAAGTATCCAGTAAAAAGGGGAGCTCTTTAAACCAAAACACCTGTAGCCCAACCTGCATTCTTGTTAGCCTGAACCTGGATGCAGGATGAAAAATCTCACTTGTGTATTAGTTTATTTATTTGCCTTCATTAACAAATGGTAAATTAATTTTTTGGGGATTCAGGAAAAAAAAAAAGTAAAAAAATATGTCAAAAAAATATTTTTTCTATCACCCAACAGGCAAAATTAAGATCCCTGTGTAAGTCATTGTGAATGTGGTGCCAGTGACATGCTTCAATAAAATTGGGTATAATGACTGGGTATAAAAAAGGTAATTTAAGAGATGTCTGATATCTCAGAGGTTCACCACTCTGTGAGAAACTGTGAGAGCAAACAGGTCAGCAGTCTCAGAATAACGTTCATGAGTTTAAAACTGCAAAGAAATGGATTCAATCATCTACAGAACAAAATATCGCTAAAAGATTGAAAGACTCTGTACTGAGGAATCTGCACAAGAAGGCTGAAAACCAGCACTGGGTGGTCCTGATAGCACTGCGCTGAAAACAGACATGACTCTGTAGTGGAAACCACCGAATGGGCTTCAAATCACTTCAAAAAAGACTGACTGCAAACACAAAAGCAGGTTAAAACACTTTAGAGATGGCTTGCATGAGAGCTTGAGAGTAAAAGAGCTTGAGACTTAAGCAGTTTCTGAGTAAATATCATCACAAGTCGAACCTTCATACTGAGTATTAAAACTTCACAATAACATCTGAAAACAGTGAGGAGCTCAGCTTGATAACAGACTGTGATACAGAGCACAATGTTCTTTTTCCAATGTTTGACTTGTAAGGTGATATCTGTGGTTTCCCTCTCTTTTTGGCAGCTTTAGGGGCATTTTTACATGGTGGTCAGCAGAAAAACAGACAAATAATACCCCACAAATCTCCTGTGGAGGTATAAACTGGCTCGGCTTGTGTTGGCCTTTCAAGGAGCATGAATTGTCAGAGGAAAGCGTTCAAAAATCTCAGCCAGTACAGGCGGAGAGTATCGTATGGACAGGAGGTCGAAAGAGTGGACTACGAGGATGTCAGGATGTGCTCTAAGTGTGGACCGAGCTCATCTGTGTCTGTTTGCTGCTCTGAAACCAGAATGATATCACCGTTTAACTGTGCGGCCAAGAATAGCTGCAAACTCACACTTCCTGTGAGGGAAGAGGGTTACAGTAAGAATGAGGCAGGAAGACAACAGAGAGGTCGTTTGTTCAAAAATGACACCTTTAGGAGCCAGAGCAAATAAATACCACAAATAAGAGCAATTAAGTAATTTACACAAGGATAAATCTTGACTGATTTAAATACAAGCTGTACGCTTATATTCACACAAACTCCTCAATACTTCCTCAAATCTTGAGGGTGAGCTGCACGTGTGAACGCAAACAGATTTCAGCCCAACTTTGTCCAGAGTTTCCCTGCCAGACCCCTGACAAAGTTTGGCAAGAGGTCAGAGTAGGCTAAATGTGAAATATGCAGCAGGAAGTTTACGAGAGTGGACAGGAGTCATGAGTGATGAAAGAAATCCAAGGTCACAAGAAGAGAAATCATCCGTCCATCTATTTTTCTGTAAACGTCGCACTGCACCGTGCTTTCAACATCCTGTCGAGCCTCTCCAAACTCCACCCCCGTCCTCCGCCCATCATCCCTCTGGAAGACTTCACGCTGTGAGCAACTCTGGAAAATTTCAGGTGCAGAACTCCAGAAAACTTCCCGAAATGTGTAGATTTTTTTTCCAGCTCACCAACAATATTTGTAAATCATCATTGGAGCAAAGTCAGTCATGGGGCCAAGAGTCTTTTTCGATAAACGCTGATGTTACAGCGGAGAGAAAGGTGCACGTTTGTCTCCCTTATTAACGTTTCAAAGTTTGAAACTCCTTTAAACATGAATAAAAACTGATTTAAAGAAATGTTTATTTGTTTAAATATGATTTAGGTTCATGTACGTGGATATTTTTGAGAAGTTTTTCTGTGTTTGACCTCCTGTCTACATGTTCACGACGTTCTTCTTTGGTGTTTCTGCTCTGACAGACTGACCACACAAACCATCTGTCCTGATTATAAAACATCTTCAGCTGTTTCTGAGTTTTGTGGACAGAGAAATTATTTCAAAACAACTCCAGTGTGGACGCATTTGTTTCTTAAATTACTTCCACCTGAGTTTAGTCCTCCCTGATTCCAGAGCTTTAACCTGATTGGTCCAGGTAAAGAAGGCGTGGGGAAGCAGCAGACTGTTGAGGCTGCGAGGGGGAGACATTTCTCCAGTTAACGCACTTTTCTAGGTTGTTGTGGAACGAAGTCACAATACTGTTTTCAAACTTAATAATTCAACATTTTCATTTGTCACTAAAAGGCTCCTGATTCTTAGTTTTTTTCTGCAGTTTTTGATTGTCTGCAAATCCTGTAAAACATCAATGAGCTCAACGTGATCATCCATCTGTCTCCACCTCTCAGCTGTTTGTGGACCTGTCTATATTCTTTAGAAACTGGATCAAAATAGAAGTAAAAAGCGGGATTACAGGGATTATTTTCAGCTGCAAATTGATCAAGTATTCATATGTGCAACTACGCTGATTAAGTATTAATTTGAATTTGCAATAATAATCCAGTTTGGTACCGTGTCACAATAAATGCATCTCTTCTGCAGAAAATACTTCCTTTTTTTTACTTCTTCATGTTGAATTTTGGGATGAAAGTGAGCGTTTATAAATGACATAAACATAAAATTTCGTATAAAGTGAATCCATTCAACACTGTACAGATTTGGTGTTCTTTAGGAGTTATGCATGATTGGTTAGAGGTGTGCACAAAGTGTTGGTTGTAATTGGATTTTCTGACAGAAGGAAACAAACAGATTTTAATAAGCTGAAGTTTTAAATCAGAATTTAGAAATATGTTTCGATAATTAAAAACCTGCGTGCGATAAATCGTTATTTTTGTCGCTCAAAATGTCGCCATTTCTGACTCGGAGAAGCCTGAGTAGATTTTGAGAAGAGTGCAGAGGTGGAAAGCTGAATTTCTCCGTGAATCTCAGGCCAATAAAGTTTTTGATGACCGCTCCTCATCCCACTAAGAATTCCCGCCTGCTGCTCCGGGATCCAGAGGAATCCGCTCCCACATGCTGCAGCCTCACCGTGTCCAGGTCTCTCTTCATCCTGACTGATTGAAAGGACGACGGAGTGAACAGGATGAGTCGGAAAAAGTGGAGGGGCAGCAGTGGGAGCTCTGAGTGAAGATGGGACCTGGCTGTGCGAGTGTGTGTGTGTGTGTCTGCACGTGTGTGTGTGTGTGTGTGTGTTCAGGAGGTCTGGGAAACAGATCAGGCAGCAGACGGCAGTATGTGTGGTCACTGTGGCACCGCGGCCTCATTAGGTGGAGTGGGGACACTGCGGTCCTGACAGGCAGACTGAGGTTTAATCCGGCAGCATCCACACATGTTCGCCCGATTTCATCAAGTCTGGAGCTGCAGCCGATTATTAAAGCTGCGTGTCGTTCTGCGACGACCGCAGGATGACGAATACGGTGGAAAAGCTATTCATTATACTCTCGATGCAACGATGTGTAACATAGGAGAGGCATGCAGAAACCTGAAGGGAAACGACCTTTTTTTTTAACGCTTAAGATCTTTATTTCAAAACTTATTTGTTTTGGTCAAAATTTCGCCGCAGGAGGTCTGACTGTGTTATCAAGGTGTTTGTTGGGGGTTTTATTTGGACATTTTTCATAATTTTATCAGCGTTCAAGTGTAAAAGTAGAGAAAGAGGGAAATATTACGTATCTAATTTCAGAATGAAGGTGTTTTGTACCTTTTTGGACAAATCTCTGCTCTAGGTTTGGATTTTTAGAGGATCATTTGATCATTTGAAAGTGAAAATCTGTTGCATAATCAGCTCTATTTTTAAAAGCAGTCCATACAGAGTTCGGTTTCTCATCCCAATCATGCGATCCTGTGCGAGGTGATCGTGTTGTACCTGTCTCTCTGTGAGGTCCAGGTTGACGGCGATCTCGTAGCGGCGGAGTCTGGTCAGGTAGTTATGGTGGGTGAACTCGGCTTCCAGCTCTCTCAGCTGCTCTTTGGTGAACGCTGTGCGCTCTTTCCTCGCCTTGCAGCTTGAATCCACCTTAAAACTGGACTCCTGGATATCTGCACACACACACAAACACACACACACGCAGGGAGAATATCTGATGTAGGTTAAAGTTTCCTCACTGTCTGAATACCAATAAATATCTTTTCAGTGAAACTAAACTCGGTAAAAAATCTTTTTTTCGGAGGGGGACTGAAGGCTCTGGGGATGTTTCTAGAAGTTTGGACTCGAGAAGGGAGATCCTGGCGTTTGCAGGGAGCTGACATACGCGGCCATCTTAGCGAACACATTTGATGGAGGTAAACGAGGTAAACAGATGTAAAACAGAGATTCAAGATGATTTTTTCACAAATTCATTAAAGGCACAATTAGGATTTTTTAACAGGTGGAGAAACAGACACAAACTGACCTTCAGCAACAAAACGGAAAAATCTCACTGTTTTAATTTTAGTGCTGAAAAACGCCACAAAGGGGCTCCTCTTCAGTGACAGCCATTTTGAAAGAAAGTGGTACAAAGAGGATCTGCGCACCAGCAGCTGATGAGGATCATGAGAAAGAAATACCGTGAAGCGTCATCTCAAAGACGGACCGATAAAAGATAATAATTTAAAGAAAAGACAAAAACAACACGTGGAAACATAACTCAATAAATGCTTGAAACGGCTACTTTCACATGTAAAAGACAATTAGAAAAGAGTTCTAACTTTGTCCACAGGGGGCGCCAAAATCAACACAAACCAAAGTTCCTCACAGCAGCTTTAAGAACCCATGTGAAATATATACCTGTCAAGTTAACCATGTATAATAGAGTGAAATATGCCTTTTTTTTACCCATTGATGAGTCTTGTATTTTTTTAATTTTAATAATTAATTTTAACTGAATAGAAACAAAAATATTTTACTCAAACATTTTTTCTATCTACCTTTAACTAATCAAATGCTCATTAGATATCAGCAATTTGTTTCTGATTAGTTAGTATTTTTAAATTGTTGTTAAATTTATAATAAAGAAGTTCTGATTTTTATCAGAAGCGTTGCATTAGGTATGAACATTTTTAAGACCCAGGAATCTTGACTTTGTTTCAGACTTTTCTCCTCTTGACTCAAACCACTCAAATCTCTTATTTTTATTTTATTCACAGCTGATCTGACTCAAATTAACTCTCCTCTCATTTTGTGACCAGCCGCTAGTCCACTATCAAACAGACCTCAAGGACCTTCCCGACCAACAAACCACCACTCCAAAGACTCTTAAGTGGGAGGCCCCTCATATAGTAAACACCAAGACCAGCGCTTTAAAAGGAGACCACCCTGACCCGGAGTTATGAGTCCAGTTCACCTGCAGCGAGAGTCCAGGAAATCTGCACGTGCGTGAATTTCTCTGCCTTCAATTCTCTGTTTACGTGAACGCACGTTTAAATGCTTAAAATTAGTGCACGTAAACCTTCACTCCTGGTATGTGTGAGAGCTTTTCTGCGCGGGGCAGAGGCCACCAGCCCGGCCACAGAGGGACTGAGTTAGCAGAGGAATGCAGCGGAACATCGTTAAAGCCTCTAACAAAAGAACAAAGGTGCGGATGTGTCCAGGTCCGAGCGCTGCGTGGGTGTGTGTCAGAAGATTTCCCTCCGGAGGACTGAGGGGGAGATCCACATTAACTCATCTCTACTTGACAGCGAATACATCAGGAGAAAAACGGAGATATCTTTATGAAAGTGGCGTTCAGCCATCTAGCAGGAAATGTGGTTTAGAGCGCATGTTAAATCAATAAAAAAGGTTTGCAGTTTGAAGCAGTTTCATGAAGTTTCTCTCTCTGTGATTCCTTAAATTAGCAAGATTTTGACCCTCGTCTTTAAAATTAAATGGAAGCGAGTTGATTAAACTCTCGGTGCCCCCCTCTCCCGTATTAAAGGGAAAAACTCTGGGTAATAATTGTGCAATGGTAGCGACACCAGCAGCTGATGTAATCCTGAGAAAATGGTTCTAATTTGTCAAAGTGAGAAGTTCTGCTCTGCGTTTGCCAGAGAAACGAGCCAGACGGTGAAACGGACTGAAGTACCTGAGCCAGATGTGACTGGGCAGACTCCGACGTGTGTGTGAGGGTGTGTAAACGTGTGTGTTTGTGCAGCAGTGCCCATGTGCAGAGCCAGAAACCTTCTCATTGTTGCTGAAGTGTCATTAACGACGCGCTGGCCCGAGCGTGCCGCGGCCTCCTCAGGTCTGCTGTAGGGCTGCGTGGAGCAGGTTTAGTCAGAGCTGAACACCTGGCAGGCAGGGAGCTCGCTGGTTCCCACTAAACAGGCCCCCAATAAATATCCAGCACAGCCAGAGACCGTAAACTTGCAGGGAGACAGCTTCTGCGCCCAGCGGGGGGCAACAGATGAACGACATTTGGTGCATTTTAAAGAAGGACGGTGCAAAAGGAGTTTGTTTTCATCAGGACTGAATTTAAGCCGCAGTGATTGAGGGATCGTTTTAGAGCAGACACTACAGGTGGAAACTACACCTGTGAATGAGCACACGGTCTGTACATGTGAGAGTGAGAGCAGGACTGCAATTAAAACCTTAAAAACTTTATGAAGTAGCAGGTACGGAAAGTGTTTATTTAATATATACACATTAAAATACTGGATTAAATCGTTTTTATATCAGTAACAGTGTAGTATCGGGGTTTCACAGTATTCTGAGGGGCTGGAAAAGTTCTGATTCGTACCATAAATCATCTTGGGTTGGTTGTTTTTTATAACTTTTTATCACTTTTTAACTCTGACACCCACCTGTTAATTTGCGTATGTGAACAAACTGTTTGAAAACTTCTGAATCAATCACTTATCATATCCACTTATTTATGTGATTTAAGATGCAAAAACACTTTGCTAAACAACTTTGTATGCACACTAAATGCTTTAATAGAGGAGTTGTAATTAGTGCAAAATAACGTTTTAATTATGCTGATGTGTTTAAGTACCTATATGTAATTTATTGCACAGTTCTTACATCTTTACTTCTGTATTTTCCATGGACAAAGTTGCACTCTGGTTTATTTGACGCAGCTTCAGGTCCTGAGTGAGAAAATGCAAAAAACATCTGAGCTCTCCATGGACTGCATGACAGACAGCTGATTGGGTGACGTCTGCAGTAAAAAAAAAAAAAAAAAAGCTTACAAGTGAAATTGTCTCATTTCTCACTGAATTAATTCAAACTGGATTCTGCAGGTTCAAATATGGACCCTGTCCTGAGACACTGACAGCAAAACTGTCCTTCATGTATGAAATAAGTTTTTATTTCTTGACAAATCAGAGTCACTCTCGCTTCATTTGAGAATCTACCCCAAGTCCGTCTTTAGGCTCGTACTAACAGTCCTTGACTCAGCGTGCAGGGACCATTTCTGATCTAGTTTGCAAGAATATACTTTTGTGTACTTCTAGGGGGACATATCTTACTCCTACCACCCCCGCTGTCATGAGTTTGAGTAAATTCGCAGTACTCCTTTTCAAAGTCCTTTTCAAAGAAAGTACTTTTACTTTTACTCGATTAGACTCAGAAACTGGTAGTTTTACTCGATTTGAATTAATGTCATCAAAGTTTAAATGAACTTAAACTAATGCATATGTGAAATAAGCAAGTGATTAAGTATGTCTACTTTAAAACAACAAAAAAACGTCCTTTTTTTAGTTTATCAGAGTTTCTGGATTAATGAATCAATATGACACTAAATGAACTGATTATGTAATTCTCTTCTTATAAATTAAGCCTATTTGATTCATTCAGCTCTGAATTAAATATGTGAGTTATGTCAGGAAAATTCACAGTGGGCGGGTCAATATTTATCATAGTTTCTTGTTAATTTTGTGGTTTGTGTGATCAAGCCTGTCTGCAGCATTTCTGCGAAACTCTGGATGAAAGTCAGCGTCAGATAAAGAGTTTATGGTCTCTGAAATATGCTCCACATTTCCATATCTGTCCAAACACACACAGCTCTGTGTGTGATGTGAATGCCTGCAGGACTTTTTCCTAATATATGCTCCTCGACCATGAAGTCCGTACACAGAGCGGGCGTCTCTGCTGTAAAAAGCCAGGGCTGATGTCGTGGTCAGACATGTTGCATGCACTCAGTGGGAGATTGTGTTACGGCTTAACGACAGGAAAATGTCAATGGATAAGAATGTAAAAAGTGGGCTCACAGGCAGAGTGATTTTACCAGACGTGGTCTGGCATGTTTTCAGTGAAGTGAGGGAGGTTACAATAAGGTAAGAAAGAGAGGGAGGGGGGAGTCAGGACGCCCCCACAGACCCCTTTAATTTGGCTGGTGCAGACTTCAGCCGTGTCGTTTTTATTAATAACAGTTCAGGTCTTCTTTTGTTATTAAATATGAGTGATAAGAACAATGAAGTTCAGAGCAGAACTGTGTTACTCCATTTTTTTACACGGAGCCTTAAAGGCGACAAAGTCTCATCTAAAGTTCGCTCCACAGTCTTTCTTTAGACCTTTAGAAAACTTTAGAAAATGTCAACGTTCAAATGTTTTACTCACAGCAAATAAAATAAAAATAAGGTTTTAATTCTAAGAAGCTTTAAATGTTCAGCAGGGTTAAGTTTCTTGCATCAAAACACCAAGTCTTGATTTTTTTTTAATTCTTGCGATAATCTGGAAAATCTAGAAAAGCGCACATGAAGATTTATCAACATCAGGGTGATTTACAGAGTGTACAGACGTGTCAAAAGTTTTACAAATATGCTGCCATGTCATATTTTAAAATGCATGGTGGCATGTATTACCAGCTCTGTAATATATCACTACTCTTTTTTTTTACTAAAGAGCGACATGTGCGGCTTTCAAAATACGGCAAAAACTTTGTAACTCCGTAATCTGATTGTTTTTTAAGCGTCACATCCCGTAGATCAGACACGCTCCAGATTCAACATTTCACAATGCTGCGGTCAGACGATACCCAGCATGGACTTCTTCCTTTAAAATATCCAAACATGAACATCTACGAAGAGGATTTGAAGTTATTTTGCAAATTAAAACTCTGAAACATTTGCTTAAGTCTGTCCGTCTCTTCCTTTCCGTTATGTGTGAAAGTTTTGGAAATGAGTTCGTCATGGATATCAGTTTCTTTTTGCTTCCTTTGGGCATGTGTGAAATTTGAGCGGGGCGATAAATTGCACTCTAATCCAAAAGTACACAAAGATACGATTTCACAGTTCTGTGGATAGTTAAAGATATAAATGCTCATTCTTCGGCGGCAAAACCTGATTTTATTGGGCCGAGTTATTTCCACTCACTTATTTTCACATGTAAGATTTATTCTCTCGTGCACAGAGTCGGTCGTATGCGCATGAACCTCACTTTTTAACACAGTTATGATTTCAGTCTGAAACAGCTGTGTCGCCTCAAACCATTTTTCCTCCGCAGCCCTGATGTCATCCTGAGCGTGCTCAGTCTGTTATTAAACAATGGTCTATTTCCATCGGATACAGCAGCGCAATGAAACCTTCACGTCTCATTAATCACCTCGACCATGTGAAAGCTCTCAAACAATCAGAGGATGCAACTGTTAGTGGAAGAGAGCGTCTCAAACACAGAAGTCTTCTCACCTGCTCACCTTTCACAGACTGATCTGATTACTGAATACCTTCAGATGGATCTAAGGAGGAAACTCACAGAGGGTTTGTGTCACTGCCAGCTGTGTTACAGGGCAGGACAGAGCCTGCATGTGGATTTATTCACTTTTTCTAACAGTTTAATCCACACCTGAGAGCAGAGGATCAGGCTTTTCAGTTATAATCTCTGCAGGATGACGTTAATGTTGCAGCTTCTCTCATTGTTCCTCCTCGTCTTTTCTTTGTTTTTTCACACCGGCGTTAAGCAGACAAAGAAAAATGTCCACAATCACTTTTTTTTAATTCCCAGATGTGCTTTTCCGCTCTAAGTTTTCTTTTCCTAAGCCTCCCTCTCTCACCCCAGCTGCCTCCCATCCATCCTGCCGCCCTGACTCACCTGTGACATCTCTCTTCCTCTTACTGGAGCTCTTCTTATCCGAGTCCGCCGACGCCACGCTCTGCGGCGAGTACTCTCCCTCCAGACACCCGGGCGCGGCACCTGGCAGCCTGTCCCCCCCTACAGAGTCCAGGTCAGGGCCTCCAGCTCCGCTCCCTCCGACTGCCACGGGTGAGACGACGGGCGGGCAGGCCTCGGGCGCCCTCACCCGCGTCTCGCAGGGGTTAAACTGCCACTCGGCTCTCTGGTAGCCCTGGCTCTCTTGGTACAGTCGGTCATCTCGAGGGTAGGCGGCGTGGGGTGCGGGCGGCACCAGGCAGGAGCTGGTGAAGTCTGTGTAGGCCAGGAACTCGGGCTTCTGGTGAAGCGAGAAGGGGGCCTGCTGGTAGGGCGACTGCAGGTTGGTTCCCGGGACCCCTGAGTGAGGGTTCCTCATGCAGCCCCAGATTGGACTGCTGGGGTGGGCGCTCCGCATGCAGCTGCTGGCCGGTTGATCCATAATGATGAAAACCTCTGAGAGTCTGGATTAAAGTCTTGATCAGAGCAGTTTTTGTTTTCCTACTGGAGGAGTTAAAACCTTCTCAGGACTGTCAATATGAGAAAAATCCTCTTCAGACGCCTAAATGCTCATCATGCTCTGACTGCAGGCTGTTGACTCTTCCACAGTCCAGAGCGCGTGAGGATAGACGCCTTCCTGTGACAGCGTGTTTCCCTCTCTCTCTGGGAGTGTGTGTGTGACGTCCTTCAGAGCCTCTGGTCCTCTCACACACTTTCTCTCACACACCCTCTGCTGAACTGACTGGCTTGTGGCTCGGCGGGAGAGCTCCATCCGCAACTGCATGCCTCCCCTCCTCGGGCTGGCTGTTTTCACAACTCTTCTAAGGCATTCTTGACAGGCGAGCCCTCCTCCTCCTCCTCCTCCTCCTCCTCCTTTTTTCAAACGTATAGGTGGGAAAGAGTGGCAAGTTTATGGAGTGTAACGTGAGATTGCAGAGGAGGAGCCCTGCCGGCCACATGTTGGTAGTACCCTCGGACCAACCCTGCCTCATCAACTATTAATCACAGGGGAAATTTTATATGCACATCTAATGGGCTTTCCAGACGCGGGGCTTTTTAAAGAGACATTGTCTGTAAAATATAAAGCCAGCACCCACCCACTTGAGAGCTGTGGACCCCGACTCATTTCAGCTCCTTAGCGCTTTCTGACACCCAATTTAGTTCCTTTTTTGACACCCTTTGGAGGAAAGTTAACCCCGACCATTTCCCTCTGCACCCCTGATCCCCGCCTGTCCTCTCCAATCTCAAAACCTCTTTTTTCTCTCCCTGTTTTTATGACTGTGTGTGTGTGTGTGTGTGTGTGTGTGTGTGTGTGTGTCTAACTCTACACACCCAAATCCACCTGGCTGGACTCTCTCTAACTCTGAGGTGATAGGAGGACTGGATTTGATATTGGCTGTGCAGGCTCTCACACCTCTTGAGGTTTCTCACTTTTGTGAGACACAATATAAAATTTCAGAGTCATAATTCAAAAATTCTTGTTAATATCGTCTCCTAGCAAACACGGTGACAGAGTCTGTTTTCCCTTTTTTAGTTTCTGCATCAGGCCAAATTTTCTCAGACTTAATCTGTGCAAATGACGCTTTTTACTTGAACAGATTTTTACTTTTTAGGAAGATTTTTCTGTCTTTACTTCTCGGGTCATTAGCAAAGCAGTTTGGACGCTCTGTAAAATTGATCTTTTGGTCACACACATACAGAGACAAACATATACACTTGTTAGTTAAAAAAAACACTGAAATATAGTGTCTTTTTTTTCCTGTTTCATAGTCTGTCACATCTTTTTTTCTCATACTTTAACTTTAAAAACAAGATTACTTATTCTAAACACAAATATGAGTCTGCAGTCCAGCAAAAACATACAAACACACCAGACTTAACGCTCTGTAAAATGTCAATTACTTAAATACATCCCCCGCAGAGGAAGAAAAAATGAAACACGAGTCCAACAAACAGGCTCTCCTCACATCTCATGTGCCACACATCACCCAGACTGCTGGTTTCACTCAGCTCATACGCTCTGCTACCTACAGCCTCACAGAATTCAGGTGTGTCCACTCTCACCTGCAGACAATCCAAGTCAGAGAAGCTGCAGCAATAACGAAAGGGAAAACAGAATCCCCCAAAGGAAAAAAAAAAAATACTTTGGAGTGAAATGTAAACATCAAATGCATTTAATATATGCTTCAAACCATTAGGTGCTAGAGAAATGTGGACCTTCGTTTAGCCTTAACAAAGTGAGGACTCTATGGCCTCATAACAAACAACAATACCGTTTTACTGTCGATAACGGCAACACATTTTAAATAAGTCGTGACAAAGATGATAAAACTGAGGTAAAGGTTCAGCACTCTGTGAGAGACTGCGTGAGCTAACAGTTCAACAGTTTCAGAATAATGTTCCTCAGTGTGAAAGAATGAGTGGATTTCATCGTCTACATCATATCATTCAAAGATTCAGAGGATCTGGAGAGGACCGAAACCAGGACTGACTCTGAAGCGGAAATCACCGCATGGACTCAAAATCACTTCCAAAAAATAGCTTCCTCTACATCCACAAATACAATCGTTTTATCTCTAAAACCACAGATTTACAGGAAGTAATAAACCCCTCCTGTTTTTTTCAGACAGCTTCACTGCATTACATTCAACCACCAGCGATTCTTCATCTGTAATGTTAGAGAGCCAGCAGACAGACAGGCATAAAGGGAGGTCAGTATTATTGGTCAATACTAAGCCTTTAAAATTTAAAAACAGCATGGTTCTGAAGGAGAAGAGTTCTGATGAGAAACTGGTCATGAACAATGAGACATTTCCATTTCTAAACTCCAGAAACTGGTCTTCTGAGTTCTCAAAAACAAGATAAACACGTCCCTAAATCAACTGTTCTGAAATGTGTAGCTGCAAACAAATTTCTGATGAGCATACATATTTAATTTAAAGAATGATAAATCTATCATTTGATTTGTTGTCTTTGCCCTATTTTAATTAACTTGAAGTTTTTAATGATTTTCTAACCATCAGATTTGTTTTTTTTTTTTACATTTTTACACAACTCTTCTGGTATTTGGGTTGTAGAATCCACTTTCATATGAAGTAATGTCTCTAATACCATTAAAAACTTTTTGGCCCAACCAAAAAAACTGGATTCTATTCCAGCGTATCCATTACCCAATAAACCCACTGAACCACATTTTACAGAAAAACAGTTTTCTTCATACTGCTCATACTTTGGAGCTGAGCTTTTCCTTCTTTGAGAGGTCAGGAGCAAAGTGAGGACACACAGACAGGACGGGGGAGGACGATCACACCTCGACTGAGAGGGGAGAGAGAAAGAAAGAGAGGGAGGATTTAGAGATATGAGGGAAGACAGAAGGAGAGAAAGGAAGGGGACCTTAGAGAGAGGGGGATGGCCAGAAAGGGGAAAAAAACAGGCAGCTTAAATGACCCCTGAATCACTCTGAGGAAAGTTGAATATAATCAGTATTTTGTCCAAGATCGCGCACCTATCTTCCTTAGATCAGCTTCTCACTAAAAGCAGAGACAAACAGAGGCCAAGTGAAAAATCTGATTAAGTAAAGCAAATGAAACCAGAGAGGATAATAAAGCGAAGTATAAAAAGAGAAAGTCAGAGAGGGAACAACAGAAGGGAGAGTGTTTGAGGTCACTCACCAAACCCCTTTCCATTTACCCAGCGAATTGTTGAGCCATGAAGCATCCCCGGCTTTTACTGGCAGTCTGAGCCCGGCCGCACCGCAGGGAGCAGAGGTTACACTACATTTGTGGTCAGAGCCCGGGCCATCTGTGTGTCAGTATAAATTAAAGTGTGTGTGCTGTGTAAATATACGTCACTGCGAGTCTATGTGCACGTGTCTCAATGAAAGAGATAACGGCTGTTTGAAGTAAAATCCTGTGAAATTATGTGGATGTGAAAGAAGCTCCCCGAGGAGACTTTTTTTTTATACAAAGTTTTGGTTTCACCAGAAAGTGACACGCAAATAAAGGAATCCGAAGGCTGTCCCTGGAAAATTGGTCTAATCGGTGGAGTGACTATTTGAGAGGTGAGATGTTAAACTATTGTAGCTGGACGGATGACAAACTTCCCAGCTGTGAACATTGTTGCCGTTCGGCTAATCAACACAAAACTCAAAGTGACTCAAACTTGAACTCAGCTGATCGGAGAGATTTTTCCAAACTTCAGCAGATAAAAACCAGAGTGTACTCCCTTTGGTTTAAAGTTCAGATACAGTTTGATAACCTGATTTTTCTCAGGAACATTAAAGTCCATACACCCCTCTGTTTGCTCCTGATTTATCCAGGCCAGGGTGGCAGCAAACTGAGTAAGTTGCTCCAAACAGCCCCCCCTGTTTTCCAGCTCCTCCTTGGGAATTCCAAGGTGTTTCCAGACCACATGGGATTCATAATACCTCCACTGCATTCTGGCTCTACCCAGGGGTCTCCTAGCAGTGAGATGTCTGGTAAACCTCCACAGTGACTCAGTGACTCACCATAGGGCTGGGCAATATGGCTTCGAATCAATATCATAATATATTGATTAGTTCACCTCGATAACTACTCCACAAGCTGCTCACCCCCTCCCACATTAACTTCATCTACTTCAGCCGCTCCAACTTTTGAACCGTCCTCCATCTCCTCACCTGTCTTTCCCTCTTTGTTACGGACTGGATGGGGTGGAGTCACGTCTCTGGGACATGAGACCATAGCCTACCTTCACACGTCCAAAACAAACTTTAATTATTTTTTTGACACCGAATATACCAATATGGGCAAAATGACGTCGGTAATTGTCGTAAATTTTGATATCGGTAAATTTTCAGTTTAGCGTCCAGCCCTTACTCACCACTTAAAATGGATTATAAAGCCTGAAAGCATTTATCAGTGATCATAGGCATTTACAGCAATGATTATGACGTGTTATAATGAGTGAACCTGGAGAAGGTTTGATTTGTAAGTCATTATTTCTTAATGCAAATCTAATAATAGCGTCTTTTCAATTTGTTGGTTTTACTACATTTTATAAACCCCAGAATTTTATCCAGTAGTTTTATTATTTTGTTTTGGGACATTTTAGTTTCTTGTTCAATCCTGCACTGTTTTTTTTTTATTTTTGTCTGATATTTTATAACTACTTGTGCCATAATCAATAAAGAGATTCAAGTTGCTGTGAGGAACTTTTTACTTGTGTTAGATCTGGCGCCCCCTGTGGACAAACTGATACCTTTTATATCTTGTCCTGCACATGTGAAAGTTGTGTTTTCCAGGGATGAATTTGACGAGAAATCTTACTGTAGTTTGATGCCTGGTCATTTTTTAGAAAACTGTGGCTAATTTTGGTCGTACTGTGTCTTTGTTTTTGCCTAATTTTAGATAAGTACCATAAATAGCTCAGCCCATGTTTAAGTTAATGATCCATTAATGTAAT